AGGGCGCCTTCCTACTCTCCAGCTGCTCGCCAGCCGGCTCCCTCGGCCTCTGCTTTATCGGGGAGGGTGCCGCGTGGTCCAGAGCGGTGGTCCCACCAGAAGGCAAGCACGCTGGCTTGGAGCTCTTCAGGTTCACGACGTTACCATGAGCCACCACCCCAGCAGGCTGCCTGACGCACAGGCTTCCATGCCTCAAGATCCCTTTGGTGGGATCAGCGTTGAGACTTGTCCTGGGTTTGTTAGTCCTTACCGCGTGAGTCTTTTTCTGAACCAGGCTTAAGATGTAACCGTCTATCCTCTTGCTGGTGGAAGGGCACGGCGCCGACCAGGAGCTTTGCGGGAGAAGGGCGTTGGTGGATTTTCCCGAGTCCGTTTCAGATCCGGGGCAAACGTTGCTAATATCGCAACCGAGTCTCTCCTCTTCTCGCTGGGGGTTTTCAGTCACGGGGAGAAGAAACATGGGACTCTGCACAGCTACCGCATGGAGTGGGCTGGGGTACCGGTAGACATCGTTCCCGTTTTTAGACACCAGATCGCACTGGTACTTTGGATGTACATCTGCAACGACATCGAGGGAATTTGAGTGCGGTGTGGACAAAGAGCGACAGACAGAGCCTGCGGTCTGGTCCTCATGCTGGCCTTCCTTATTATAGTCCATCCAGCCTATGAGATCTGAAAGGCAGTTTAGAAGAGTTTAGAGAGCCTGCCAGGGACAGTTCTGCTATGTTTTTCACGTGCCACCAAGGACGCCGGTCCTATCTACACATACGATGTCAAAGCTTATACGACAGCAGCACTGCTCAAACAGAAGAAACTTTGCAATCAGGGATGCCATTTAAGCCACATAAAAGCAGCACTATCCTTCTCACAGAATCACAGAATGTTCAGGGTTGGAAGGGACCTCTGTGGGTCAGCTATGCCAACACCCCCGCCAGCGCAGGGTCACCTACAGCAGGCTGCACAGGACCTTGTCCAGGCGGGTCTTGAATATCTCCAGAGATATTCTTCTTCTGTGGGTCTCTTTGTAACTGCTGCTATGTAGGATTTGCCCCAGTATGACTACATGGTTAAAAACACAAAAATCATAGCCCCAGTGAGAACATTTACTTTGGTGTCAAACCTGTGCCTAGGTTGCTTAGACCTTCCTATGTTACTTCCACCCGGAAGTCTGTAAGGGCCTCTTCTCCTTATACGCTACACAGCCACTTCTAAAGCTGACTGTGGGCCTCAGCACATACGAATTTTATCTTTTACTTTGCTAAATCCAAAGGGAAACATAAAAAATATAGACAAGAGTCCAATGAATTCTTTTAGCTTATTGACAAATTTCACTTCCAGATTTCTTCAAGCATACCTTAGGTCCAAAAAAAATCCAGATTTAATTTTGTTGTTGTAATTATTATTATCATTACTACTACTACTGTTGTAATTATTTTATAATTGTAATAATGCTAATAGTAATAACAGATGCTCCTTTTGAGCAATAAAGGGCTAAAGAATGGGAAACAAGCTCATCTTTCCACACAAGTACAAGGAGTGCAGGTCAATCAGCTGACATCCTAGCCTTGGCTCTGCAAAGAGGGTTCTGTAAGAGAAATCCAGTGCGTTTCAGGGTGCATGAGTCACGTTTAATGGCTAAGGTACTTGCTTTGGAGGTAAGCGACCTTAGGAACAGGGCTTCAGTCCAAGCACCTAAGATTATTATTTTCTTAAGCTTAGGTTGCCCTTGTCTTCTTGGGTAGGGGTACAATCTAAATGATCCTTCTAGATCACAGTCAGTCCTGTTTTCTACCCTTGGGCTAGAAACTTCAGCCAGGGTACTCAAATTTGAATGCTCAGTGCTCATCACACGTGAGGCTTATTTCAAAAGAGGTCTCACAGACGTTGATGAAATTAGCTGATAGAGATCATGTTCCTGTGTGAGCAGGAGAGGAAGAACAGGGAAGTCAGGAGCATGAACTCCCTCCAGATCACCTCACATTTTTCCCACATTTCCTAAATTCTATGTCGGAGTCAGGAAATGTTGACAAAAACATTTCTTTGAAACATGCCAGTTTGTGAAATTTCATCTCCAAAAGAGCGCCAGTACGAATAATGAGAGTTTTAGGGGTTTGTGATGTGTACAGAAAAAAACGGCAACGCAGTCATCTGAAGTTCCTTGCGTATGTTTTCCTTCTTCTGTATGGCCAATGAAGATCAATATACCTTACAACGTGGAGCATTAAATCACCTCAAGCTGCTCAAAGGATAACTTAGAGGACTTCTCAGCATCTCAGAAGGAATGCATCCCTGGCTGTACTTTCCCACTTCAGAGCTAGAAGAACATGAATTATTTTGTCCTCGATTCACAACAAATCCCTGTAAGTTAACCTTAAAGAGCAGAGTGGAAATTGGAAATACTATGGTTAGAAGCATCCTCCACAACGCAGAATGAACTAAGGCTTTTCAATGAGTATGTCTGCAATCAATAGTGTTTGATCACAAAAGTCCTACTGAAGTGTCCTTTCTGGACAACAGACAGAGAAGGCCTTCCTATTTAACCACCCCACACATTAAGGCTTGCATCTTCAGCCTAGTGTCCAACCAAAGTCAACAGCTCTCTGCCAAAGAGACAAAGTATTTTTTCCCCTGTTCATGATGTCTATTTGTCTATACTATAGAAACGCAGGACACACATCAAGCACGTTCACCTGGGGGTTGAGGACAGTCAGAACTGACAAAATGACTGCGACAAACAGACTGACGTGTGCCCTGACCTCCTAAAACCTGTAGCTAGCTCCTTACTCTGTCACTTTAACGAGGACATGGCTTTTGAGGTATCTTTAATTACTGCTATTTACTAAAAATGCTTTTCTAAAGGAAACTATGAGAAATTTGTTGAATAACGTGTTTATGTGCATAGGTACCACTGCCCTCTACTGGGTAGAGCAGCTGTCATATCTTCACATGTTCTTTCCATGTGCTTATTCACACGTACGGCTGGACTAGCAGAAGGCAAACGGTCCTGCCTCATGACCCACGTAGGTGAGAGGCACTGGAATCTTTTCAGAGCATAACACGTCAGAAGAAAGGAAGAAGGGTTAATCCAACCCAGATACTCCTGAGGCAGTATTTCCAAAGCCAAAGCCACCTCCTGGAGTATGACGTATTCGACCTGCTTTTACTATACCTGCAGATTTAGGGCGTCCATCTGAGATATTCAGTGTTGCCTCCAAAGGGCTGCAAAAGCAAGTGCTAGAATGGCAACTGGATAAACACTCACTGAAGACAGAGTTAGACGAATTGGAGAGCGATCCAGAAGCTCCATCACTCAGCTCATAAAACCCTATAAAAATAAGAGTTTGGATTTATATTAGTTATGGCTACACAAAGTTACCATTTGTGTCCCTAGAAAGGCAGTCAAGCTCATGTTTACGTTGGCTTACCCTATTGCAATTAGTTACGGGATTTCATTCAGGCACCCAAAAAACAGCGCAGAATTTAGTAATATCCTTATTTCTATGAAGGATTCCGTTTAAAAGTAAGGCACTTGCAAGTAAAAAAACAGAACTTAGCATATGAAATACTGAACTTTCTTTTTAACCTTTACAGGGGTTGGGGGTTTAACCTTTACAGGAGTTTTCAGATTTCAGCAAGACGGATCCCGGCTGTGTTTGACAGCCCACTCATTTAATAGTGTATTATCCTTCCAAGACAGACTCCCCATCTACTACTTAACTACAAAAATTTTACCAAGTGTTGGGCTCAAGACTATCCACTATTTTCCTCAAAGTTCTGGAGATTAATATAATATTTGTGGATGACACGAAAGAAGAGAAATCGTAGATAATGTGCAGAAACAGAAAATTTAATTTCCTGGTAAACTGGGGCTACTCAAGAAAAATATGACACACCACAATCAAAATTTAAATTTTACATTTAGGAATAAGGAATGCAGGGCACGTCTACAGAATGGGGATGCATTCTGGAAAACAAGAATCCTGAAAAGGACTTAGTCAGCGCGGAAGAGCAGCTCAATCAAGCTTAATGATATGGCAAAAAAAAGCTAATGAGATTGTTGGATGTACAAAGAGACTAATGAATAGCAGCAAAGAAATTACTTCGGCAGTCTATACAGCACTGGTAAGAAAGACATTGGAACGGTATGCCTAGCCCTTGACTCCAGCACGCTTAAAACCAAGCTAAAAAATTGGAAAAGGGCCATAAAGCTATTTAAGAACTTGGAAAAATGCCTTAAAACAAATGACTTAATGAACTTGACCTGTTTAGCTCATCAAAAAAAAAGTCAGGAATCATACTGTATAGCACCTCCAAGAGGAGAAAAAGCTGCATACTAGAAAACACCATGGGAGAAAAGCACATTAAAAAAAAAATCAGTTCTGGAACAAGTCAAATTCAGATTAAAAATTAGCAATGGTTTTAACAATTCCAAGCTGGTGGATTCTCCACTCTTTAGTGTCTTCAGAACAGGTTTAGACACCTCTAAGAAAGGTTCCCCATAGTTAAATAACACTTACTGGCTTCAACATAGTTAGGATAGGACGAAATTCAATATATGGGGCATCAAATTATTTCATTCAATGTTCCCTTCTGGCCGTAATATCAGTTTTGACCTCTTCCTCCTGCTGGTGGTGCTCCTTTCACCCTTTTTCCTGCAGCCTCCTTCCTAATACGCAGAATTAGAAGTTTTTTGAACTAATTTATGGGTGGCCTTGGAAAAAAATGAGCACTAAACACTAAAAATCTAATTAAGCTTGAAACGCTTCTCTGAATACGTTGTCTACAAACAGCAACCTTTCCAGTGGTAGGTGAACTTTGCTAGTAAGCATCAATTGTCAGAGTGTGAACATGCTGTAGACATTTACTGTTGTAGTACTGAAAACTACCGCCAGTTTAATTGCAGGTACCAAGAGAGGCTCCATGTTGCTGAATATTGGCCTTACCTGAACTTGGACGACTGTCTGTCTCAAGGTGTTCATCTGTCGTTTTTTCCACGTCCAGGCGGAGATCGCTTATTTGCTTATCTAGCTCTTGTAACTGATTTAGTAGGCCAGCGTCCCTCCTCCTCAAGCAATTCTGGAAAACAAGAAGACAACGACATCAGCTCCTTCAGTGGCGCAGACATGAAGGGGCTTCAAAGACAACCAGCCTCCTCCATATGAGCATCATGGAAATAATGATAGGACAAGGGGTAACGGCTTCAAGCTGAAAGAGGGGAGGTTTAGATTAGATATAAGGGAGAAATTCTTCACTCTGAGGGTGGGGAGGCCCTGGCCCAGGTTGCCCAGAGAAGCTGTGGCTGCCCCCTCCCTGGCAGGCCAGGCTGGACGGGGCTTTGAGCACCCTGCTCTGGTGGAAGGGGTCCCTGCCCATGGCAGGGGGGTGTTTAAGGTCCCTTGCAACCCAAACTATTTGACGAGTCTATGAAATACCTTGTCGGTATTCTTTTATTTAAAAAAAACCAAAGAACCAAGCCCTGAAATTCTAGACAGATGCTCCGGATAAACACTTAACTGAGGAGTTATGCAGGCATTTCATTCCAGCCTCTTCCAGCCAGTTCTGCATAAGGAGCACACTCCACAATTTAGGAAGACCAACACACCATGTTGGCTAAGCGCTGCTTTGCAGGACCACAGCTGTCACAACAAAGCTGTATTGTATGATGCAGTCAAACCAGACCTGTGCACACGAAACGGGCTACTTTGGTGAAAGGACAGCTCTGCCAGTGGGACAGGGGATGTTCACCACCACAGCCACGTTCATCAAAGATCTCCTCTGTTCACACAATGGGACGAAATGGCTCTGCCAACAAGTGCCCGTGGTGTGGGAACCGCCTTGCTCTGCTGCACATTGTGAGCTTATAGTCTGCCATATCGACAGCAAGATTCCTGGGGCTGGGATCATGGCCCTTTTATTAGTTTTGGAGTGCAGCAGGAAGGAAGAGCAATTCTTCCGCTTCTCCCATTATAATTGTATAAAATTGCTGTGTGATGGATTTTAAGGCTATTTACGAAGGTAATTTGATGGCATAAAATAAGCAATAAGAAATTATTTTGTAAGGCACTCATTAACCCACGGTCAACGCAATGTTTCCCTGTGTGTATCACAACGTTGCTTATCCATCATCTGTTCGGCTTCGTACCCTTTAATTGCTCCGGCTTCGGGGAAAGTGGGGGGGGCAGGAGGAAGGTTTCTCTCTTTTCTCCAAGTGCACCACCTGATCAGTGCCCAGCTCTGCTACGCTCGTCACAAAGAGTTTTGACGCCCATAACTGGATGAGTTCTAAACCCATTAAATCCAGGCCAGCCTTTCCCCTGGGGTGAGCCAGTCCTGGGGCAAAGGGGAAGCAGACGCTAACAGCGTTAGCGGGGCCGTTTGAAGACGTGCTGGCATTTAACACCGTCCTTGGAGAACCAAAGGGGCGATCCCAAGCCTTCTCCCACGTTTCCGACAGGAGCAGGGAGCCGGCTGGGAGCCAGGCTTGGTGGAGGTGACGGCTTCAAGCCCGTAACTCACCGCACCACCCGCTGCCACCAGCGTCCCCGCTGCCCCCGCCAGCGTCGCGCCTGGTTCCAGGTCTGCAATGCCAAGTGCGCGAATTAAAGTGCTGCCACAAATCCCCGCGTTTAGGTTTGGTTTTGGGGTTTGGTTTTTTTTTTGAGTGATGATTCCCTGTTCCTTCACCACAGCTCTTCGGCACCTTCACAGCAGAAAAATAATTGATTTGTATCTTTTAAAGAAGGAAATAATTCTGAATTCACTAAACCTAAAGGCTAACAAGAATAAAAAGGGGAAAAAAAGGGGGGGGGGGGGGGTGGG